ACTTCATCTATTCATTCATTTATTCACTCAGGCATCATTGAACTGAAATTAACAAATCTAATTAACATTTTGCATGCCCATTGTATGCCTGGTGTAAGGGACACAACCAGGTTTATAAAAGGCATAATCCCATCACAAAGAATCTCACAGTTTAGTTGGAAGACAGGTATATAAGGGGACAGGGGACCCTGAGCCCAGCATGGGTGTCAGGTGACTAGAGTGCCAGAGAACATTTCATGCAAGAGTATGGCCTGAAGGGGTAGAGCAAGATGGCAGAGGAGTAGGAGAACTGGATTTCCTCTGGTCTCAGGAATTCAGCTGGATAGGGATCAAACCATTCTGAACACCTACAAACTCAACAGGAGATCGAAGAAAAGAATAACAACTCTCTGAACAGAAAAGCAACCACTTTGTGGAAGGTAGGACATGCAGAGAAGTGAATCCGAGGCGATATTCAGGGGGATAAACAGCAAGGGAGGGGGCAGGATGTCCACTATCACCACTGCTGTTCAACATAGTATTAGAAGTCTTAGCCACAGCAATCAGACAACAAAAAGAAATAAAAGGCATCCAAATCAGCAAAGAAGAAGTCAAACTCTCACTCTTTGCAGATGATATGATACTTTATGTGGAAAACCCCAAAGACTCCACCCCAAAACTGCTAGAACTCATACAGGAATTCAGTCAAGTAGCAGGATATATAAAATCAATACACAGAAATCAGTGGCATTCTTATACACCAACAACAAGACAGAAGAAAGAGAAATTAAGGAGTCGATCCCATTTACAATTACACCCAAAACCATAAGATATCTAGGAATAAATCTAACCAAAGAGGCAAAGGATCTGTACTCAGAAAACTATAAAATACTCATGAAAGAAATTGAGGAAGACACAAAGAAATGGAAAAACGTTCCATGCTCATGGATTGGAAGAACAAATATTGTGAAGATGTCAATGCTAACTAGAACAATCTACACGTTCAATGCGATCCCAATCAAAATACCATCCACTTTTTTCAAAGAAATGGAACAAATAATCCTAAAATTTGTATGGAACCAGAAAAGACCCCACATAGCCAGAGGAATGTTGAAAAAGAAAAGCAAAGCTGGCGACATCACAATTCCAGACTTCCAGCTCTATTACAAAGCTGTCATCATCAAGACAGCATGGTACTGGCACAAAAACAGACACATAGATCAATGGAACTGAATAGAGAGCCCAGAAATGGACCCTCAACTCTATGGTCAACTTCGGCAAAGTGGGAAAGAATGTCCAATGGAAAAAAGACAGCCTCTTCAACAAATGGTGTTGGAAAAATTGGACAACCACATGCAGAAGAATGACACTGGACCATTTCCTTACACCACACACAAAAATAGACTCCAAAAGGTTGAAAGACCTCAATGTGAGACAGGAGTCCATCCAAATCCTAAAGGAGAACACAGGCAGCATCCTCTTGGACCTCAGCCGCAGCAACTTCTTCCTAGAAACATTGCCAAAGGCAAGGGAAGCAAGGGCAAAAATGAACTCTTAGGACTTCATCAAGATAAAAAGCTTTTGCACAGCAAAAGAAACAGTCAACAAAACCAAAAGACAACCGACCGAATGGGAGAAGATATTTGCAAATGACATATCAGATAAAGGGCTACTATCCAAAATCTATAAAGAACTTCTTAAACTCAACACCCAAAGAACAAAGAAGCCAATCAAGAAATGGGCAGGAGACATGAACAGACATTTTTCCAAAGAAGACATCCAAATGGCCAACAGACACATGAAAAACTGCTCAGCATTGCTCAGCATCAGGGAAATCCAAATCAAAACCTCAATGAGATATCACCTCACACCAGTCAGAATGGCTAAAATTAACACGTTAGGAAATGACAGATGGTGGCGGGGATGCGGAGAAAGGGGAACTCTCCTACACTGTCGGTGGGAATGCAAACTGGTGCAGCCACTCTGGAAAACAATATGGAGGTTCCTCAAAAAGTTGAAAATTGAGCTACCATATGATCCAGCAATTGCAGTACTGGGTATTTACCCCAAAGATACAAATGTACGGATCCGAAGGGGTACGTGCACCCCAATGTTTATAGCAGCAATGTCCACAATAGCCAAACTGTGGAAAGAGCCAAGATGTCCATCGACAGATGAATGGATAAAGAAGATGTGATATATATATATATAATGGAATATTAGGCAGCCATCGAAAGGAATGGGATCTTGCCATTTTCAATGACGTGGATGGAACTGGAGGGTGTTATGCTAAGCGAAATAAGTCAATCAGAGAAAGACATGTATCATATGACCTCACTGATATGAGGAATTCTTTATCTCAGGAAACAAACTGAGTGTTGCTGGAGTGGAGGGTGGGAGGGATGGAGTGGCTGGGTGATAGACATTGGGGAGGGTATGTGCTATGGTGAGCGCTGTGAATTGTGCAAGACTGTTGAATCACAGACCTGTACCTCTGAAACAAATAATACATTATATGTTAAAAACAAAAAAGAAGGAGGAGAAGAAGAAGAAGAAGATAGCAAGAAGGGAAGAATGAAGGGGGGAAATCGGAGGGGGAGATGAACTATGAGAGATGATGGACTCTGAAAAACAAACTGAGGATTCTAGAGGGGAGGGGGGTAGGAGGATATGTTAGCGTGGTGATGGGTATTAAAAAGGGCACGTTCTGTGTGGAGCACTGGGTGTTATATGCAAACAATGAATCATGGAACACTACGTCTAAAACTAATGATGGATGTATGGTGATTAACATAACATAATAAAAAAAAATAGTATGGCCTGTAATGAGTCTCAAAGGCTGTAGGAATCATTTCATCATGCAAAAGGCAAAGGAAAGGACAGTACAAGCAGAAGAGACTACAGCGCACAGGCATGAGAGATGACCCAGCAGGCACCCACTTGTGGGAACTACAAGAAAATCTATGTTGCTGACATAAAAGGCAAAACCAAGGCAAAGTTGTGAGCCAGCCCACAAAGGGCAAAGGTCTTGGGCACCATGTGGGCTTAATTCTAGGTCAGAGATGCCCATCCTCTTTGCTGGTGCTATTTGGGGCTGGATGATTGTTGTCAAGACCATCTTATGATCATAGGATGTTTTGCAACATCTCTGGGTTCTCCCCACAAGATGCTTATAGCAACCGTCCCCCAAAAAATGTCTCCAGACACTGCTAAGTATCTCCTTGGGGAGAAGTCGGGGGGAAATCATCCCTAGTTAAGGATTACTATTCTAGGCAAAAGAGAGCCATTCCAGTGTTTTCTGTAAGGGGTGACAAGGTCAGGTTTGCCTGAGACTGGGGCAGAGAGCCTTGGCAGGTTCTGTGGCAGCCTTCCTGAGAGCTCTGGGTCAGGTCAGAGCATGGATTAGTAGCAACATCACCCAGAGTAATGTTTGAGGCCAATTGGAAGTGAAAATAGAAGAGAGTCACACCGAGGGAAAGGTGGGTTTAGTTGGCAAAGATAGTAAGTTTCTTTGGGAGCATGTCCCATGTGAAGTGTGAATGTGGTGTTTAACTGACCATGGAAATTTTCAGTATGAACCATGAAGAAAGGGGATAAGCTAAAGGTTTCTATTTGTGCACCACTGACAGGTAGACAGTCTCTGAAACCCTGAAAGTGACTAGAACCTCCTCAGGAAAGGGTTTAGGATAAGCAGCAGGGTAGGGAGACTTTGCATTTAGAGAGAGTAAGAAAGAGCACAGACAGAGATAGAGAGAGAAGGAAGAGCTTGCTGTCTTGGAAGCCACCAGCATAAAGAGTGTCTGGGAAGACCTGGCCAGCAACCCAGGGAGGGCAGTAAGGTATTCAGAAGAGTGAGTGAATTGATTAGAACAGCCAGAGGAGGAACATGATGAGCAGGGCCTTTCTTCCCACCTCTTCCTACCTCAGCAGGACAACCACAGCCAAGACTTTTAACCTCCCAGGATTTCTAGAATCCAAATGCCTAGGTATGTTAACTAGTGTTATCAATACTATTGCTTTTATTTGTCTTATTACCTGGTACCCAAACCTGTTTTTTTTTTTCTATTAACTTGCCTATTCATAGTTTTAAAACTGTTCTTCCACTTTTAAGCACCATGACCCAGCGTCCCTTTCAATCTCTCTCTTCCCATGGGGGAGGGGAGGAGTGAGTTTTCAGTCCAGGAGATAATTTTTGCCCAGTCTCTCAAACTGGCCTCTTCTTTTGCATTGCCCAGGTCGCTGCCCCTAAAAAGTCTACAGATCCCCTGTGGGCATAAAACAAAATCTAACCACCTCATCTTGGCATCCAAGACCCTCATCCATATGACCGTCACCAGTCCTGGTTCCAACTGATTCCTACACCTAGCCTGTGTTCATGGCTCCATGGTCCAGGGAAAGAAACATCCTGAGGATAAGAATGCAGAAGATAGGGTCTGTCAAATGAGAAGTGAGTGAATTTCCTTCTCTCTGTATATGGTCCATGCCTCAAAGAGTCTCGAGTGACTTGGGGAAGTCCCCAGAAGGTAAGTGTGATATTATGATTTATAATAGGCAATATATGTATGGTCTTTGTCCTGTTCCTAGAACAAATCTCCCTTGGAATTTCCAAGGGTTAAGCACCATAAAGGTGTATTTTGTCATGTTAACAAAATGACTTTTGAAAAGCTCCTAGTTTCCCTAAGGATGGGGGCTGTCACCAGAGGAGTCAACCATGTGATTAGGGGGTTAGAACTTTTAGTTCCACCCTTCCAACCTGAGGGTAGGGGAGAGAGATGGAGATCAAATTAATAGGCAATGATCAATAATTTAATCAGTTGTGCACATGTAATAAAAACCCAAAAAGAATGGTGTTAGGGAGCTTCTGGGTTGGTGAACATGTAGAGGTGCTGGGAGAGTGGTGTTCCCAGAGAGGGCATGGAAGGTCTGTGCCCCTTCCCCATACTTTGCCTTAAGCATTTCTTCCATCTGTTTATTCCTGAATTATATCCTTTTATAATAAACAGTAATCTAATAAGGAAAAATGTTTCTCTAAGTTCTGTGAGCCACTCCAGCAAATTAATCAAACCCAAGGAGAGGGTCATGGGAACCTCTGATTTATAGTGGATCAGTCAGAAGCACAGGTGATAATCTGGACCTGCAATTGTCATCTAAGTTAGGAGCAGTGTTATAGAACCGAGCCTTTAACTTGTGAGATCTGATGCTCTCTCCAGGTAGATAATGTCAGAACTGGGTTAAATCATAGGACAGCCAGCTAATGTCAAAGAATTGCTTGATGGTGTAGGGAAAATCCCTGCCCCACATCAGAATTGGTGATCAGAACTGTAGATTCCACCTCAATTTCAGGGACATTCCAAAGTAGACCCTCACAGCAGTCAGGAAAGATGGGTCTCAAAGGACAGTGGAAACCACAGAATCAACCTGGGCACTCTAGATCTCTGATGTAGTTGGTGACAAAGGCCAAAGACAAATGGTGGGTTGGGGGTGTTGTTGGATCACCATATCCCAGAGCAAGATTGATTTACCTGCTACCTCATAGGGTCTGCTTTGGACCTGAGATTGGGCTGCATGCCAAGGTGGGGCAGGAGGTGGCATTCCTCTGGCTTTGCAGGTAAAGAAAGCTCTGTCTTAGGTCTGGCAATTGTCCATGGTCAGTCCCATAATCAGTAAGTCCAGGCATTGGCCCAGTCTTGCCATCTCTTTTCAACAACCTAGCCCAGAGAGAAAGATGCTCAAGCCATAGTTGTGTGATGTGTATCTGTTCTTTTTCCCTTTGCTCAACTTTTCCATCACTTTCTCTGTAAAATATCCCACACATGGCAGAGCGCTTTCCATCAAAGTTCCTTTTTAAGATGCCAGTCACCATGCAAACTTTTAATGATAGAAAGCCATGCACAAGGTGAATTTTTATACCTTTTCATTCAAAGGCAGAGCTATGGGTGAACTCAGTCAGTAAAAGGTTTATGGCAAGAAAAAAAGAATATTGAAAGTCTCAGAAGCTACAAGGCCAGGCCTCCCAGATAACTGAATTGCCTTTGTCAAAAAGCTAAACCCATGACTCCATACAAATATAGAACGGACATGTGTCAGAGCTTTATCTACCCAACAGTGACAGGTCCAGCAGGACAGCAAAACTGGTTCAAAGAGAGTTCATGGAATGAGGTATAGAGCATCACTCAAGAAGGAAGAAGGAAAAGAGCCACTGAAATAAGTTTGCCAAGTTACAGACAAATGGGGCAAAGGAAAAAAAATGCTAAAGGCATATATATGATCTTCTCCCCTGGACACAATGGCATCTCTCCTGACCAAATATAAGTTTGCATCTCTCCTGACCAAATATAAGTTTACTGATAAACTTGCAGGATCTGGGCCTATGCTGGGGATATCTAAAATGGCCCCAGAACTTCTCACTGAAATCCCCAGGACAGTGAACATGATAAAACCAGCACATGGTTTTTACTTCACATGGCAAATGGGAGTGTGCACATGTAATTAAGGTTACTAACTAGTTAACTCTGAGTTCATCAAAAGGGAGACTTCCCAGGTGGGCCTCAACTAATCACATGCTTTTTCAAAAGCAGAGATTTTTCTACAGGTAGTAGCAGAAGGGGAAATCAGAGTGGGGGATTTATGAGAAGAGGTTCTGGTTTGCTGAGATGCAGAGGGCCATGTGGCAAGGACCCAAAAGCAACTTATAGGAGTTAAGAGTGTCCCAGGCTGATGACCAGCAAGGAAAGGGAACCTCAGTCCTACAACCTCTGGGAGCTACCAACAATCTGGATATTACTAAAAACCAAAAGCAAACCGACAATAGTCATCTGAAGGAGTATAAGATGTGCAAGAAGAACCTATCTCATAATCCATTCATGCCCTTCCTCATAGTCTTCCAGATCCTACAGTGGATCTAGAAGATGAATCTGCTCCATCCCAAGAAGGAAGGGTAAGGCAGGGCATCCTACCAACAAATCAGCAAGTCTGTGTTTTTCCAACATGTTTTACCTGACCTATATAATAGGAAATATACTTTAACACTGAAACCCATATAAACACACACACACCCATGGATGTTTAAAGTTTCATGGAAAACCCTGCCAACACCTTGATCCCAGACTTCTAGTCTCCAAAACTATAAGATCATAAATTTCTGTTGTTAAAAAAAAAAAAAAAATTTCTGTTGTTAAGCCACCCACTCATTCTGTGGTACTTTGTTATAGCAACCCTAGCAAATGAATACATGGTGTACTTCTACATTTTCTAGTCTGTGTTCCATTTCTTCCTTTTTAAATGCTGTTTAGGACAAAATTGATTTCACAATGATAAATGAACCACACCCACAGCTTGAAGAACTGAGAAAATTCTACAGTCTTTCCATTTTCTACTCCAGTAATAAGACATGTGTTACCAATAGGTTCAGAAATGAAAGATTCTGTATATATAATACAGGGATTGCCTTGAGTGATAGGATATAAATGTAATGCCTTTAACAGGGGAAATGAACTTCCCTAATCATCCCTGACAGAAACATGTGATACTCCTACTGCTCTTTGAAGAAGGGAGAATATATGAACTTGAGGTTAAGGAGAAGAAATCAATATTTTTAGTTCTTTCTAAAGCTATGGTCCCATTCTCAGAATGGGCCTTGGTTATTTCCATGTAATACTGCAAAGAGGAAAACAAGGAATGGGCCTTTAGTTTTGATGCTATCCATCCTAGAAACTTTGAGAAAGAGTACTACATCTAGAACTTGGAGAAATCATTTCTCTACCAAACAGACAAGAAATAATACCAAACCTAAGTCAGAGCTTGTAGCATTTCTAAGAGTAGGGCAGTACCAAAATCACAGTCTTGCTCTTCAAAGAGCTAGAAAACTAAAAGCTTGGAGTAAATATCATCACCACCATCATCATTGTTATCATCATCATTTTATACTGGCAAGAATTACAATAGTAACAAGTCCATGGATAATAATTTTACAGAATCCTAAACTAAACAGTTCCCATAAATAACATTTCAAGGACTATTAGATCTTTCATGAATCAGGTGTTGGTGCACAAAGGGGCCAGGTCTAGAGTATGGGGTGAAGATCCATGCTCTGGAGGCAGATGGGAGTGGGGCAGGGCCATATGGTATCCCCCATGGGTCCCTGCTTCTCAGGATTTCATTTGTTCCTCATCAGGATGCAGTGAGGAGTAAGCAGGTTGATCCCATAAAGCCCTCAGAATAGTGCCTACTGCACTGTCTCTGCTCCAGGGATGTTGATCCTTATTTGAACACAAAACACCTGGGGATTTTGTGAAAATGCAGATTCTGACTCAGAGCCTGTGTGCAGGGCCTGAGGTTCTACTTTCTTACAAACTCCCAGGTTGTACTGATGATGCTGTCTGCTGGCCCCATTTTGTGTAGCAAGGATCAAAAACATGCAAAGAAATGGCTTATCAGAGATGAGAAGAGGTTTAATACGATTAATCATTTTTAAACAGCTCTGTATGTATGTATAATATATATAACTAATATATAATTATTTTAAAATAATAGCTAATATATAATTAATACATAATTGTTTATAAAAATATATAAATATACATATACAAGTGGGGGGGGGCGGGGGGTGTATAAAACTCATGCTATGTTGCCAGAGTCAGTAACAAGAAGCACAAACCAAGGACCAGGTCACATTCCCTGGCCAGGCAGCTGGAAGAAATGCAATGCAAAGCATCTGGTGTTTAAAGCAACTACTCAACACTGTAATTAAAGGGGAATCACCAAATCTGTAAACACCAGGGCCTGCCAGCCCACACAACGGCCCAATCACAGCTTCTGCCCAGCTGGTGAAGCTCAGAGATCCTTCGGAAGTTAATTAAATGGTTTCTGCTCCTCTGGTGGACCCTGGTGAACCCCGCTTAGGATGTCCCACGGCAACTGCACCTGGACCCTCTGTCCATGTCTTGTCTTTTTTTTTTTTTAAAGATTTTATTTATTTATTTGACAGAGAGAGAGATAGCGAGAGCAGGAACACAAGCAGGGGGAGTGGGAGAGGGAGAAGCAGGCTTCCCGCCGAGCAGGGAGCCCGATGGCCAGGGCTTGATCCCAGGACCTTGGGATCATGACCTGAGCCAAAGGCAGACGCTCAATGACTGAGCCACCCAGGCGCCCCTAATCTTTTTTTTTTTTAAAGATTTTATTTATTTATTTGTCAGAAAGAGAGCACAAGCAGGGGGAGTGGCAGGCAGAGCAGGCAGAGGGAGAAGCAGACTCCCTGCTGAGCAGGGAGCCCAATGCGGGGCTCGATCCCAGGACCCGGGGATCATGACCTGAGCCGAAGGCAGACGCTCAACGACTGAGCCACCCAGGCGCCCCACATGTCTTTTCTAAAAAGCAACAGATTTCAGAAAGCTTCACAACTACTCACCTCTAGTTCTGTCATCCTCACCAAAATGTTTTCCTCCCCAGCTCCTTTCTTGACATTGTTCCACCCCCAGAACTTGGTGAGATATGCTTCAGGGAGTGTAAAACTCTCCAGTGGCACCATTTTTCCACATCACACTGCTGATGCTCTCACTCTGGAAGGCAGATAAGGGATGTCAAAACAAGACCTGGGCTCCTGTCCTCTACCTAACACACGGCATTTGGCTTTAGATGAGTCACTGCTCCTCTGGATTCCTTATCTCCAAGTTGACCAGAGAAACAATTCTTGCTCATCGAACTCACTAATCCAGCCTTCCCATCATGTCACTGGGATCCCATTCCCTGAGCCCCCAGCACCTTGCACACCTGTTCTGCCCTTCAACCCCCCACCCCTCCCCGGCAGCACGGCCCTCAGGAGCCTGTCCCAGGAGACTGCAGTCCAACTGGGCTCCTAGGGAAAATGAAAAAGAGAGAAAGCTGCTGGACCTCATTCGTAAGCTGAGAACTGGTTGTTAAAAGCCCAGCAAGAGAATTCAGAAGTGTTCTAAGCAGAGAAGGATGTGGTCAGAACATTTTCTAAATGGGTGGACCTCTGTTAGATGTAAAATTCTAATGGGGTTTATAACCCTAAAACATGAAATGTTTCAGAGTCAATACTGAAAAGGCAGTTTTGCGCCAACAAGAATAGCAATGCTTCAGTATTTTAAAGTAGCACAGTATATTAGAATACCAGCCTGTCCCCCCCACCCTCCCCAAAAATTGGCACTACAGAAATAACTTGATACCCAAATGAAAATGGACAGAAAGTGGGTCAGGGTGTCTGCAGAAAACTGCTTCTCTGGAGGAAAACTGGAGAGGGCCAGGCAGGAGGTGGAGGAAAGGGCCCCACACTCCCCTAACCCCTCCCACTCAGCTGGGGCACCCAAAGGAAGCCTCTCTACTGACTTGGCTTTCTTTCATTCTTTCTTTAATATATTGATTGCAGCTTGGATTCAAGTTTCTTCAGACACAGACATCCCTGTTCCCAATACCCTCCTGGTGTTTTATGGAGACTTCATCTATATTAGTCAGGGTTTTCTGGAGAAAGAGAGCCAATAGGATTTATATATATACAGAAAAAGATGTAGTATGAGGGATTGCCTCATGTGATTATGGAGGCAAAGAAGTCCCACAGTCTACTGTCAGCAAGCTGGAGGCCCAGGAAAGCTGGTGGTGTGGTTCTAGGCAAGACTGAAAACCAAGAACCAGGAGCACTAATACCTGAGAGCAGAAGACCCGTGTGCCGGCTTAGGCAGGCAGAATACATTCCCCCTTCCTCTGCCTTTTTGTCCTATCCGGGCCCCCAAAGAATTGGATTATACCTACTCTGCATTGGTGAGGGCAATCTCCTTTACTCAGTAAATTCAATGCCAATTCAAATGTTAATCTGTTCAGGAGATACCCTCACAGACACACCCCGAAATGACATTTTGCCAGCTATCTGGATGCACCTTAGCCCAGTCAAGTTGCATAAAATTAACCATTATACCAGCCAAGTCACATCTCAGGGAGAAACTCCCATTCTGAGAAGGTTCTCCTATTAAAACATGTCAGGCCTTCGGGAAAGTAATTTGATGTAAAAGTACCCCAAATTTTAAGTGTGATATAAAAAAAAGAAAAGAAAAAACATGTTAGGCTTGATGCTGTGACCATTGCTGTCACCCAGGGATTGTAAAATTCTAAAACTCCAATAAAACCAAATCGGTGTTTGCCTGGCTCCAAATCTTGTGTCAGGTGAAGACAATACTTCAAACAGGTGCAGACTTGCCCAAGACCCCATGCAAACCGCTAAGAATCCTCTGATAACCCTCCTCAAGGAACTCAGAGACGCCACCTAGGGAAAGCCTCGCATGGCTCATCAATATATGTGAAACAACACAGCTGGATTCTAAAGAGGCTTCAGGATACGGCCTTTGATGTCACCTGGACCTGGGGCCACATTCAGGCCATGCAGTCCTGCCATGAGGCCCACGAAGTTGTAAGTTCTTCTCGATGACCACGAACTGAATTCCATGAGTTATTGTAATTCACTCGTCATAAAAGCACTAGCAAAGGTGGCACATGATCATGACATACAGGAAAAAAAAAACTGTAAAAATTATTTAAGAAGTCATGTTATGGATAGGGTTGGCGTTTAAACTCAGGTGCCAGGACATTTCTAGCTAAATGTTTCAGATATTAGAGCAAGTATCAAGGTTGCGTTTTAGTAGCTTTAATTTGAAAGACTGCACGTTAAAAAAACCGTAATTCAGTGATATTTTTAAATTATTGTATATTTTATTAGTCCTGATTAGATCTGTACATACCTATGAAATAGTACATGTAAATGGAAGACAGATGCTTACTTAGTCTATGAGCACTACTGAGGATACTGGGGAGGCAGCCCTGGGACCTCTGCTCAAGACTGGGAAAGGTGATGCTGGGTGAGGAGCAGCTGCCTGATAGGAGCATCAGGGTGGATCTGTCTGACCTTTCTGGATCCAAGCCACTTCAAACAAATAGGATTTTATTTCCTCAAATAAAAATGAAAGATGAAATACTGAGTCTCCTGAGGGAATTAAAACTCTAAAAGACAAACTCTGGACATTTATATTGTTGAATTGCTAAACTATATTAATCTGCAGGCCAATGAGAAATATTATTCTCAGTTCCTATAAAACTCTGCATTTATCACTAAACGCGTTTCCCAATAAATTCTCTGGACTAAATACATACATCTTGGTACCATGATGCTATAATACATCAAATATAAACAAAACTGGGAAAAATTAGGAGATGCTCTTTTTCTTTTTGCATGAATGATCAAAGCTCAACCTTGTATAGAACTGCATTTCATTTGTAAATGTCCAAATGACAACTCTTCCTTGTCTTCACGACTGCTCTTCATACTGGCACAGAACACTGTGTTGTTTCTATTTGGAGGGCATCAAGTTAAATTAATTTTTATGAAGAGAAATTGTTCATGGGACAGTCACAGCTTTTCAGGGAAATGGTATCACGACGCACACGAGTTGCACATTTAGAATGCCAGTGAACATACTTCAGGATCTTTAACAAATGGTCAAGTCATCAGGATGTCAAACCCTCCAGATGTTTTCCTGGACTCTTACAGAATTCCCAGAGCCAGGGGGGCGGAGCAAGATGGCGGAGGAGTAGGAGACCTGGATTTCGTCTCCTCTCAGGAATTCAGCTGGATAGGGATCAAACCATTCTGAACACCTACAAACTCAACAGGAGATCGAAGAAAAGAAGAGCAGCAACTCTCTCATCAGAAAAGCGACCACTTTCTGGAAGGTAGGACGTGCGGAGAAGGGAATCCAAGGCGATATTCGGGAGGATAGACGGTAGGGGAGGGGCCTCCGTCGGCCACTTCTGGCAAGTGATAGAGCCGCGGAGCACAAAATCGGAACTTTTAAAAGTCTGCTCCGCTGAGGGATGTCACTCTGGTGGCTAAGCGGGGGGTGGAACCCTCCGGGACAGTGTGGTCTCAGGACCCTCGGGGTCACAGAAAGACCGGGGGTGCCTGAGTGTGGCAGAGCTCCCAGGTATCGGAGCAGGGAAGCCGGCTGCAGAGGCGGAGCCCAGGCGCGGGCTTTCAGCTTGGGGTTGCCATAAACCGTGATCCGCGGCACAGTCGGGCCACTGCTCCTCCAGCAGGGACCCAAAAAGCGGCAGATCTGGGGAGACTCACCTTCCTCCCCCGGGAGGAGCCGTGCAGGAGTGCACCGCAGGGATCTGCTGGGTTTGGAGACTCCACCCGGGGTCGGGTGCCAGAGATAGAAACGCACGGTCACAGGCCGGGCGAGCACAGAGTGAGGCCGGAGACCGGGGAGACGGGAGTGACTGACGGCTTTTCTCTGGGGGCTCACTGAGGAGCGGGGCCCTGAGTTCTCGGCTCCTCTGGGGCGGAGATTAGGAGGCCGCCATTTTCACTCTCCGCCTCCAAAGCTGGACGGAAAGCTCGCAGGGAACAAAAGCCCCGGAGAGCAAACCCGAGCAGATTACTTAGCCGGGAGGGGGCAAGGGCGGGGCAATTCCGCCTCCGGCAGAGACATTTGGGAACCACGGGAACAGGCCCCTCCCCAGAAGATCAGCGAGAACAGCCAGCCCAGACCGAGTTAACCGATCAATGAGAACGGCAGAGCTCCAGCGCTAGGGGAATACTGCACATAGAATTCATGGCATTTTTACCATGATTCTTTAGTCTTTTAAAGTTAATTTTTTTAACTGTCTTTTTGTCTTTTTATTTCTTTTTGAATTTTTCTTTTTCCTTTTTCAACCAACATCTTATCAATCCCTTTTTAAAAAAAAAAAAATTTTTATTTTTCATTTTTAGAGTCATATTCTATCCCTTCATAGTAGTTACCCATATTTTTGGCTTATATATATAAGTTGTTCTCTCTTTAAAATTTTGAGATAGTTTCTTCTAACAGATTAAAATATACCCTAAATCTCTAGTATATGGTGTTTTCTATTCCCCTGCCTGACCACATCCTCTCCCTTTTTTTTTTCTTTTTCTTTTTTCTTTTTTAAATCCTCTTCTTTCTTTTTTCAAACAACTTCTTATCAATTCCTTTTATAAAATTTTTTATAATTTACATCTTTACAGTCATATTCCATCCCTTTATCATATCAATCCTTATTTTTGTACATATATAAGTTTTTCTTTCTTTAAAATTTTGGGAGGCACTTTCTTCTAAAAGACCAAAATACACACCAAATCTAGTGTGTGGAACTGATCTATATACCATATAGATCATATTTGATCACATTCTGTTTTTTTTGTTGTTGTTGTTTTGTTTTGTTTGTTTTTGTTTTTATCTTTATCTTTTTCTTTTTTTTCTTTTTCTTTTTTCTCTCTTTCCCTTTCTTATCCCACTGCTTCAGGTCTTTTCTGATTTGTTTAGAGTATATTTTCTGGGGACGTGGTTACTCTGCTAGCATTTTGTTCTCTCATTAATCTATTCTCCTCTGCACAAAATGACAAGACGGAAAAAATCACCTCAACAAAAAGAACAAGAGGTAGTACCGACTGCCAGGGACCTACTCAATACCGACATTAGTACGATGTCAGATCTAGAGTTCAGAATCATCACTTTAAAGATACTAGCTGGGC